GGGGGGGGGGAGAACGACTAAAACTATGAAATGGCCAAAAAGAGTCTTCCTGATTTTCTAGTATATTTGAGTTTCTTGGACAAGAAAATAGTTTTGCCCACGTTGTCCTGCTAAATTGTGGGGCAGGGGTGGGGTTGGGGTACACACCCTAGGTGAGAACAGCTTGGGGAAACTGGGGGTGCATGGAGCCCTGGAGGACGGGGCATTTGGGCTCCCACCTCTATTTGGCTTCACCATTGAGGTGACAGCAGCTGCCTGTGGAGGGTCACAGGCTCTCATGCCAGGCAGACCCCACCAACAGCATGATCAGCTGCAGGAGGGGCCTGAGCTCGGGGCTCCAGCCGATGGCCTGGCTGTGCCTCCCCAGAGACGGCTCCCAGGCACCACCAGCCAGGAAACTCCTGCCAAGCCTCCTCTTTGCTTTCCTTTCAGAAGAGAATTCCGACTCGGACTCCGACTGAAGGGCTGCCCTGCCCTGGCAACCCGAGCCATGCGGGCCTTACTCCTGCATTTCTGACCGGCTGGCCGGAGTGTAACCTGGGGACCGAGTGTTGTTGAGAGGAAGGCTGTGACCTCTCGAAAGGAGCGGGCCTCCTTACAGCCCCGAGGTGACATTTCTGAGCCCAACACACAAGACAGGGTCCCTTGGCTTAGCCTATCTAACCACTCTGCACAGGAGGGCATCGTGAATATTCCGCCACTCCTCATTTCTGTTCCCCAGTCCTTAAGCCCTTAACCTCTCTGCCAGAAATAAGCACAAAGGGACAAAGCCAAGAGAGCATTGTTACCCCCATCCCAGGGATAGTTCATGCCGAGGGGGGTGGGTAGGGGGTCACAGGATGATGGAAGACAGACAGAAACCACCAGGGGCCAACCGCCAGCCCCCCAGGCCCCAGCGACTTTTGTCTGCATTTGGTGCCCCTGCTCACACCAGGCACTTTGTTGAGAATGATCTTTCCAAGATTCTTTGTTCCAAGGAGCACCACCTCCTTCATCCATTAAGCAGGGAGAAAACTGGCCTCCGCTTTATCTTAGTGCCCTTAACTGACACCTCACACCCGTGGAAACCATGTCTTCTTCAGGTGACATGACTATTCTGGGTCTAAGACCAATTCAAAGAAAAGCTTGTAACATAGCTTACCAGGTCCAAAAGATCAAGGGCACCAAACGATGAAATAGCAGCAACAGAGTCCTGGGAGGCTGGGCAGGCCCAGCCAAAGCCTCCTTCCCTGAGGACCCACCAGCAGGCAACAGGCTCTTGGGCGCTCAGGACGATGTGCTTCTAGACACCAGAGCAGGTCTCCCGACACCTCACCAGAGGTGAAACGTGCCTTTTGTATTCATAAGGACCTATGCTGTGTATATATCTTAACGGGATTTTGTAACTTTATATAATTTTTTTATACAAAAGCAGCTTCTTAAATAGCATTTCCTGTGACTCAAGAGGCCTTGTAAAATGAGCCAGAGTTCTGGACCCATTTGGGGGCATTTGTAACTTTTGTTTTTCTCTTGCATGTGAATCTCCTACCCTGAAAAAAGCCATAATGAATTAAACCAGACTGACTACCTGCTTGGAGTGTGTTTGAAAAAACCTTCCACCACCCAGAGCAATGCTCTCCAGTGTCACACTTCAACACAGGCTGGTCGCGTGTCCAGGCTTCAGTGACAATACATGCACACTTGCTCCATGCCCGGCACCCCACTAAGCGTCTCACATGTGCCCTTTTGCTCCTCACACAATCCAGGAAACTGACAGAAGGTTCGGTAGCTTGCCCAGGTCACCACAGCCCCTTTGAGGAGACCTAGGGCCTCTCATGTATCAGGGTAATGTCTCATAGCACCTCTCAGGCAGCCAAACCCCGAAGCTCTCGTGGTTGGAAACGTTGCACAGGGGACCTCAGAATTGGTGCCTTGGAGGAGCATGGGTTAGCATTTTGTCCCAACTTTCACACACACGTTCTGAAAATGTCTGAAAGCTTAATGTGCAGAGGCCGAGAGGGGCTCATGGTGGGAGTTTCTGCTCCACCTTACCAGCCCCAGCCAAGCTGCCTGCTGACACGTGTACCACAGAGGCTTCGTTCCACAGATAGTGGTTATGTTCAACCTCCACCTCGCAGGCATGTTTCAGGCACCGGGTCCACAGCCCACAGCCTCTGAAGGGGTGGGAGGGAGGTAAGTCAGAGCAGAGAAAGAGACAAGACCCTTTTTACATGTCCATTTATTAAACAAGAACTCCTTCATGACAATTTAATACAATATTAGCGATTAGTGTTGAGAAAATTATTTCCCTCTACATACAAAAATACAGATTTGAACACTATGAAAACAATCAGGACAAGTACCATGAAAAATTGGTCCTTCGAAAGAAAGGGGGAGAAATTGAGGGCAATAGGAGGCTTTGTCTGCTGTTGGGGACAAACCAATAGGAACCAAGACTTTGGGGCCCAAAACCACTCCAAGTGCATAGAGTCAAACCCAAGAGCTAGTCAGAGCCGGTGGTGCCCACCCCAGGGCACCCATGTCGGTTTGAGAAGCCACAGTGGGAGCTCTGACTAGCCAACAGCATAAACCAAAGTTTACCAAATAGGCATCACCTCAGAACGCCCCATAGCTGTGTCTAAACTGTTAAAGGAAACAGACTTTCACGAATAAAGTGTAAAGGTTATTAAGTTAACATTGCTTCCCCAGAGTGCCACTGGGCCTAGTACCAATGAGTAATCACGTTAGAGTTATTAGCCACCTGACTTGACTTCCTGTGTTAGAAAATAATTACATATTGTGACCCTTCAGAAAGGACAAAAAAAGCTACAGTTTTATGTTTCGATAAATCCGTTCCTTCATGTTGCAATGGCTCAGCTAGTTTCAAGATTTTTCTTGACCAGGCAGAGGGTGGGAAAGCAAAACGGGGCAGCTAGAGTGTTACCTAGTGATTTCACCAAGCTCCTCACAGCAGGGAATCTATTTTGTTCAGGCCCAAACCCAGAAAGGGCCTTGGAGCCTACCCAGGTCCACGAACCAATCAGATCCAGTGGAAGGTGAGTCCAGGACCAGCGGGGATGCCCCAGACTCAAGCAGAGACGCCAGGCCAGAGAACACCTTCTGGTTCACTAGCCCCAGACGACAGGCCTTGTCGCCGTTTAAACCCAGAGAAGAAAAGTCAGAGCACCAAGGATGTTCTTTTCTTTTTCTATGGAAACCACTTTCCTCTCACTGTCTGAGGTGAGCAGTGGCTCTCCAAACTGAACAAGTGGTTCAAAAATGCCCAATGCAGTTATACTGGTTAGGAATTATTTCACAGAAATATTCTCTTGCTCTCAGACTGTTTAAATAAGCAGGAACAAGATGGGGAGAAAACAGCAGGGAGCAGATAGGAACAGCCAGGAGTTTGTCTTTTTCTTTTTAAAAATACATATGAAGCTTAAAGGGAAAATGGCCAACCTCAAAACCAGCACTGCTGAAAGCAATATTAAAAGGACACAATCTAAAATCATGCTACAAAAATAGTGTTATCTGGTTTAACTAAATGTACATCTTTTTTTCAATTCCATGATTAACAAGAGTGTTTATGTGACCGACACACAGAAGGCACCAAAGGTGAAGTGATTATTATTTGTCTTAAAATATACAGAGACAGAATTATCTACTTTGCAGGGAAACATACAGTCATACCTGTAATAAATAGTTAAGTGTTTTTGCCATGGGTTCCCGAACCCCTACACATGTCAACATATACAGATAGTTTCGATCCCTAGCGTTCTCTTAGAGGAAACCGCATCAAAAATCAAGTTATGAAAAGCACTAGCTTTATCTACATACTCATTTCATCATGAGGCAGGATTTGAAGACTCATTTTTAAGCAGGTTTATGGGGTGAAAGAGTTGGAAGCAGGTGGCCCCTCTGTGAGTCTGGGCCAGCTTGGGGGACCATCCAGGCATTCTGTCCTCAGAGCCAGCTTCCCCCAGCCCTTGGACCAGCCAGTTCTCCTTTCAAGCCCCAAATATTTGTCTTCCTCACTTCTGTTGAGATGGGAACAGAATCTTGAAATTGCAAATTGATTCTGGAAAAGGCAGGAAAGCAAAATGGCCCGTGGAGGGAAGCAGCCATCAGAGAGACCTGGCCCTGCCTGGCAAGGGCACGAGGTCCCCACACAATCCTTATTTCCTGACCTTCCCTTCAGGTGGCTTTCCTGATAAAAGGAGGTACTTCCTGGGTTTCAGATTATTATTGAATCTTAAACAAACCTTTATCAGAATCAATTATGTCACACCTCTCCTCTGAGGCACAACCAGGAAAAGAAACTTTGGGCCTTGCCCTAATCCCATCAACAAAGGTCATCTGAGACAACTGCCTCCTCTAAATGAGAACAAGTAAGTTCCCATAGCTCACTAGAGCCCAGGCTATTAACCCCTTAATGAAGGCCCCCCGGCCTTTGTGGGTAATGCATCCCAAACCACTCCAGGGTGTCTAAATTAAAGTCTTGGCATTAAAAACGTAGACAACAAACTAACCCTATGAAAAAGATATGCTAATCAATGATCCATAACCTAACTTTATTCTGGGCGAACTGCCATTGATTCATTCAAACTCAGTGGAATTGTGGGTAACTTTTCTTTACTCTTATGCTTATGGAATAAGATAAACTAGAAAAAAAAATCCCCAAGATTGAGAAATTATATCCAAGTGGAATAAGAATATAGTCTAGACCAAAGAATGGAAAATCTATCAGGCCCCACTCCTCCGTTTCAAGCCTAAGAGGGTATAAATGCCATTTACTGGTGTGAAGAAAAGTCAAACAGAACATTAGCTTTCAGAAGACAATTCTTGATCTAACAGATATGGAGGGTATTTTCTTTCAGAGAGTCTTGAAATGAAAGAAATGTAAAGGTTCAAATATTTCAAATTACCTTCTCAACCAGACGGTTCTTAGGATTTCAACACTATCTGATGAGAAAAAAAGAAACACATGGTTCTGTAAAGAGCTGGGAAGTTTACACAGCAGTGTTCAGTCTGCGTCCACTCTAAGGTGGCACCCACACCAGAATCTGAGTCACCTGCCCAGACCTGCAAGTTCCCAAAGTCAACAGCCAGAGCCCCACCCCAGAGCGCCAAGGCACACTGGTCCCTACATCCAGCTTTTGCATGCAAGCTAATTCCAGAACACAAAACTTCGTTTCCCCAAAGACACGAGGATGGAAAGGTAGCTAACCAAGTACATTTTTTTCAAGACTTCCTGGGTCAGTAACCAGTCTAGTGTTATAAACAGTCCCACAGCAGACAGAGTCTGGGGTGCAGGGCCCCCTCCTCTCACCTCTCAGGCCTGCCCCTGCTCCCGCCTCACCAGCCTATTGCCTTGCTGGTCCTAAGAGTGGGTACTGATAAAATAAGCAAGACCTGGGGAAGAAAGGCCCTTGGCTTCTGAAACCTTCACTAGGAAATAAAAAAGTGATCTGGAGACCTCACAAGCTAATGGCAGCCCCTGGAGCAGGAAGGAACCTTTTATTTTGCTTGAAAGAATCAATCGGCAGCAGCTCTCAACTCAGAAAGTGTTTGTGCCTTTTGCTACCTGTGTAATGTCATTGTTTTCCTATAAACAAGATATGGAGAAAATGAGGCAGTGGGACGACGACTCATGGCTGCTTTGTTTTGTACAGGGATGGCACAGTGGAATCACATAAATCATCACTGCCTTCCAGAATCACTGAATTGGCCACATGTTGCCTCCACACTCTACTCATCTATTAGGACAGGTTCTAAGAACAACCCACAGAAAATCTTGCATAGCCAGAGATTAGAACTTGGTCCACCTCTTAAGCACATGGAGGGGTTTCTTCCCAAACAGCATGAGTGTCTACAAGAAAAGGTGAGGTTGGGTCACACATAGGACACAACACATGGGGGGGGTCATTCAAGGCTCATTCATTGCAAGCAAGAATTCACAAGCATGCGCAGACAGAAGAGTAAGTGCTTCATCTCCTCAGAGACCACCTATGGCTTAACCCAAGTCTGAATCACAAAGAAACCTTCAAAAAGGTATATGAAGGTGCAAACTTTAAGCAGAAATGGCACTGGCCGGTGTGGCTCAGTTGGTTGGAGCATCATCCTCTACACTGAAGGGTGGCAGCTCGATTCCTAGTCACATACCCAGGTTGCAGGTTCAGTCCCAGTCAGGGTGTATATGGGAGGCAACCAATCAATGGATGTTTCTCTCAAATCAATGTTTCTCTCTTTCTCTCTCTCTCCCATCTCCCTCCCTCTCTCTAAAATCAATAAAAAACATACCCTCGGGTGAGGATTTAAAAAAGGAAGAATAGGAATGTTTTCAACTGAGTCAAGCTCTCACCAGAACCTTCCAACACAGAGCGTAGGTCAGATACACTCCATACTCACCCACGGGCATAAGCGTTCCTGCCAGGAGACGGTAATGGTACCCAAGGGGCTGCAAGTGTTGTCCCCCTCCCAGAACCACGCCCTCAGAGCCCGGCTGGGTCCTCTCTGTGGATGGGTTGAGCTCTGCTGATGCCGGCCCTTCAGTTCAGGTTGCCAAGGAAGACATGGATAAGTATTGGGACAGGGCAGGTTACTACATTCTTGCTTTTCTAGGCAAAGGTAATCTCTCTTGAGTGACTATTGCTGCAGAGTAAAAATCTCAAATAAAATACTTTAGTATAAATCAAACATCTCTTATGAGATTTTAATCTGTAAATGCCTTGGTCCTTCCCCAACTTTATATGGGGCCAGCAAGTGTCTTTAGGCTTTCACGACTGTAACCTCTCAGTATGAAAGGGAGAAGGCATTTCCCTTCATGCCTTCACGCACTATAAAGGGAAGATAAAGGAGAATCAAAGAAAAAAATACGCCATCCACCAAATCAATGCCAAGATAAACTTTCTCTGAAGACGTCAGTGCTTGCATCCATCTAAAACCACCAAATGCTTGAGGGTTTCGACCCTAGGTCTCTAGGAACATATTCAAGTGCACAAAGCAACTGTAGTTCTCTTCAAGTTTGGCACAAACCATGAAAGCCATTATCATCCCACCAGAAAATTGAGAAACACTAAGATTGCCTCAGCCTGAAAATGCCCCAAAACAAACTGACATTGATCCACATTAGAACTATTAAATGCAAAAATATGCTTCCTTCAATTTTCAAAAAAAAAGTCCTTTAAGCGCCCAAAATCTAGATTGTCTTATTTGTACACAAAGGCAACATAAGAAAAATGCAGTTGTCTACATTCACCTAGACAAGCATATTCCCTTCAAAACATCTCACCACCACCTTGATGACTGTGCAGCACACCAATTGGAGAGCCTACCTGGCCACTTCCGGTTGTAGTGAGAGCTAATTAAATAGAAAGAAATGTATTTACAAAAACCATGGGAGAGCCTCATGGCACAGAGGATATTAAATAGTTACAGGGATATAAATAATTCCAAGTATTCTAACACTAAGATGCAAATTAACTCCTAAGTCACTCTGTGGCACATGGTGTCATCACTTTATCATCTGTCAGCGTTTACAGTTTCCATGGGCTTCAGAACTGTTTCTTGCAGCTGACAGCACATCGTCAGGAGGCCAATAGGCTCCTTTTCACCAGATGATAAACTGGTCTGATTGAAGTGACTTGGGAAAGCTTGGGCAGCAATCCTGCCTGAATGGTATTCTTTTCTTCAATCGCACTTCAAAGGCGGCTTTTTATTGAGGCCAAGTAACATGATTCCCAGCAGGAGATTTCTGATAAAGTACAGGGTGGTCCTTCCAAGTGGGCCCCATTTAATGCAAGGCTGAGTCTCTGTGACCCTGTTTTTAAATGGAAATCGCAGAGGGAGATAAGCCCAATTTTGACTAAGCATACACACACAACAAATGCAAAATAAATATATAAAATGAATAGATAAAATCCAGATGTCAGAATCTCCTCAAAAATCACTACATATAATAGGTTCAAAGTTTGTAAAGCGTGACTTGTACTGTCTCACAGCAAACACAGAAAGAGGGCTCGATCACACCTGCTGGGCAGCAGGCCCAGCTGTGACCAGGCCGGGCTGCCCTCTGGGGAACCGAGGGAGGTGAGTGACCACCAGACCAGCTGGGTCTGCACCAGTAGCCATGGCCCCTGAAGCAGACAAGGGGCTTGTACATGTGACCTGGGACACTGCCTGGGGAAGGACTGCAGCAGAACTCAGACTGTACAGGATGTTCAGTTCAGAGAGCTAACCCCTAACCCTACCCCTTCAGAGACAGCATAGTACCATTTCCTATCAAATCCCCAGCCACCTGATCAATCTTTTATGAAGGATGCAATGCATACACACATATACTTTCTCAAGCATGCTCTCCTCCCACCACCCCAAAGACATATTCATATTCTCTCTCTCATTACATGGTATGCTGCTAAAGCTGTGACTGTTCACTAGCACAAGATCCTGGGGATTTTCCTCATTACTGCAAAATCTTCCCACCTTCCCACCAGCAGTAAATGTATTTTCCTTAGTGAGGGCTAATCACAAAATATTAGAGCTAGAGTGAGGTTTGTAAACATTAAAAACAGTTCAGAGTGAAAACCTGACAAGTTAAAACAATTTTTCCATAAAAGATACAATTAGTCTCCAACAGGAAAAAAAAGAAACTACAGCATCATAGGGGCTCATTTAACTCCTTCACCACAATAATCTTAACTTTATCAAGAATCAATTCAAGCCCAGTCAGTGTGGCTCAGTGGTTGAGCATCCACCCAGGAACCAAGAGGTCACGGTTCGATTCCTGGTCAGGGCACAGGCCCCGGTTGCGGGCTCAATCCCCAGTAGGGGGCGGGGCATGCAGGAGGCAGCCCATCAATGATGTTTCTCATCCATGTTTCTATCTCTATTCCTCTCCCTTCCTCTCTCTCTAAAAATCAATAAAAACATATTTTTAAAAAATCAGTTCAAAACCTGACATACCTAGAATCCTTCCCAACAACTTCTAAGATCAATGTTCAGTTATGACCCTGAGGCACAAAAAGCTGCAATTAGTGCCTTCTAAAATGTCAGTGAAAGGATGTCATGGTGCAAATTCAAGTATTTTCAAATCCTAGACAAGTCTACTCAGAATCACTTTAGAACTCTTCTCAGGTAACTGAAAATTAGCATATGTCTCTAAAATAGAGATGTGTCCCACCTGTGGTCCAAAGGGGCAAGTGTTCTGGCTGCTGGAATGGATTGAATTTCTTTCCTGGCTTCTACCTGAGACGGTAAAATTACAGAAAATCTTCAGTTCAGCTTCAAAGTATTAAGGATAGTTAGGAGAGCGAAAAACAAGATTGTCCCCATATTCCTGGAGGAGAATCTGGGATTCAGGGAGGTGATTCATTCAAGGAAGAATCGAGGGATTTCTCAGCAGGTAGGAAATGAAAGGTGACCCTCCCGTATGTCAGCAGTCCTATGGAGCTGTCGCAAGAGGACACCAGTATCACCCCTCCCCATAAAGTCCAGAACCAGCCAAGAGCTCCACCAGCACACCCATCACCAAGACCCTCAGTGCCACACATGGCCTGCGCCGGCTGTCTCAACGCCCTGGGCATGGAAGACAAGCAGTAGGGAGGAAGATAAGCATTAGGGGAGGGTCCTGGCAGCAAGACTAACGCTGATGAAGCTCACTGTGGGGGCTGCCCAGGAATCACTGATGGACTGGTTCAACCCTGTACCTTCATTCCTTGATTTCCCCCCCTCCTAGCAGTCCCCATTTAATCCAGAGTCTTTACTTGTCACAAATACATATGACAGGGTGGCTCAGAGTCAGATGGGAAGCCTGTGCTTAGGGACAGTGAAGACCTAAAGTGGACATGGCAGCCAGGGAGTCTGGCAGCTCCCACGGCCACCAAACGCTGGAGAATCCGTAGGTCTCTCCCACCCACTTCTGTCTGAACAGCTGGGTATACAGGGGTTCTTCACCTCACATACCTGCTAACAGGGCCACTAAAAAAAAACCCTTTCCCAAAATGAGCCTAAGAGGACAAAATTCAGCTTAATCACATGAGAATCTGACGTGACAAGGAAAAGAAAACTTGATTGAAAGGATGGGCACGAGAATGAGAGGGAGGAGGACTCTGGCAGGTCCTCATGTGTCCAGGCGCTGGATCTCAGGGCGGCCATCCACGTCTCGGGACTCGGTGCGGGCTCGGATGTAGTCATTGGCACTCTGCTGGTGGATGCTGACTCTCCACTTCTGCACTGCCAGGAATGTGTTCACTGCATACACCGCCGTGGCCAAGAAGCCAAATATCTATGAGACATATGCACAGTTAGTCCTCAAACACATCAGCAGTCTACAAGGTGTCTGGGTAGGACCCTGAGTGGCTTATACACAGCTGTGCCCCCAACACCTAGCTCCGCTGAATGTTTAGCTATCAGACCATGGCCAAATCTATAGTCATGTGACCCACATATGTCCCGCCTGACCTGAAGACAGCCTGAGGTTTCTTTTGAAGTATTTTGCATCTTTTTTTTTTTTTCCAATTACAAAAATGCCTCTTTTACAGCACCTTCATGGTCACTGGTCCCAGATGAGAAAATACATGTAGACAAAATCCCAGGTACACAGAAAATCAGGGGCTCATGTGAGCCCAACTTAAGCCATAAGGCCTGAGATTCCAAAGCACAGCCCCCAAACCCCCTCCTGCTCTCCAGCTGCCTCTCACCTGGGTAGCTCCTGGGTGAGAGGCAGCAGGTTTGGCTTATTTAATAATGACTAGATGAGTCTACTAAGTGACACCTAGGAGAGCAGCTAGTTTAATATTTTTCATGAACCTTTTAATCCCCCCATTACAAAAGTGCTACATATTCTTTGTAAATACAGAACCATATAGAAATGCAGAGCACAGAGACAGTCTTACATTATCTGGTTCCCACCCCACCCCCATGACATTCTACCTTAAGAGCGAAAATGTCATCTGACTACTAAATGGTGTCAGGACTGTGTTCTGCTTCATTAAGACCCCCACACTGGCAGGTAAGGCTCTTCAAAGCAATACCATTAACAGACAGACATCCAGGGTCCTGTTGGAAACAGACTAAAGCAGTGGTTCTCAAACTTGAACGTGCATCTGAATCAGTTGGAGGGCCGGTTAAAAAAATCTCTGACTCAGTAGCTCTTAGGGAGCTTGAGAATGACATTTCTAACAAGTTCCTGGGTGATGCTGAGGCTGCTGTTCCAGGAACACACATTGAGAACCAGAGCACTGAAGGAACTGGAACCTCCACTGGCCCAGTAACAACTTGATTAGCAAAGAAAACGCTAAAGGACAATGAGTAGGACACATATTAAGGGACAGAGGAGAGCAAGTCACAAAAAGTGTACAAACCAGCCCGTGTTTTAACCACTCGCATTCACCTACCACGGCAGCAATTTCTGCTCCGGTTTTGTGGTTTAAAGCAGCCAGTACAATCGAAGCAATAAAGAAAAAGCAAGTGCTGAGTCCAGTGTTGACCAAATCCTAAAGAAAAAGATAAATAAAATCATTTGAAAAGAAGCATCTCATACTTTACCCTAAAAGCCATTAAAGAACTTTCAAAATAAGCACAATACCCAGCCTCTGTGCTGGCACCATATTTTAGTCTCAATGGTCTAAGGGTGCTGGTTATACAAAGGCAGGCAAAGATGATAACAGTTTATGATGCTACTTCATTAAATCACCACAGCAAAATACACGTTACCATTTCTTAATGACTTATTACAAAAACCCAAACTGCTAACCTATCAAGGACATGCACACTAATTACCACTTAGAGTCCTATTGTCATCTTTTAAAAACTCATTCAAATCATGCTGGCATGGACAAAGCTCCCTTGTCCCGAAAGTGCTGAAACGGATGAAATCCTCTCCTACATCCCCTCATCCATATGTGACATTTCCAGCACACTGTTTCCAGACCTAGAGAACACACTTCACCAATGAACTGGAACCAAACATGACACAGAGATTCCAACTTTCCCTTGGAGCCAAGTAGCAGCCGATCCTTTCATAGTCAGAGAGTGGTGACTTATACTCACTGTCAGGTTCCAGTTGATCTGGGGGATCCTCATGTGAAGGTTGAGACTGAACAGAATCAGCAAAACTCCAGTCACCACAAATGCACTGCAGCTCACAAACTCAAAAAAGTAGAGGCCTTCACACGGGGAGCATTCCATGATGGTCTCTATGCAGATGAATGCAATCAGGGCCAAAATCTAGGAAGAAAATTGGAAATATACATGTGTATATATATATTTAGTACTCATCCGAGTACTCATGCCTGCTACATTTAAATAAAACTCACCACCACCACCATATACAGCCACAGAGTTTCCCTCTGGGGACGGCAGTTATAGCTATCAGTATGACCTGGTTCATTTCTTACATAAGCGTGTAAAGGTATGGAGCCTTCACCAAATTCCTCAATGTGGACAGCTAAGCCCTCACCACAGGACACTGAAACCAGTCTGGTGAGGTGTGGCCCTTGTGAGGAAGCAGAAAGAAACATCTCTGCAATGTTTTTAGTTTTTTCTCTGCCATGAGTAAGTGGACACTGCCTACGCACGTTCCTAATTTATAGTCTCTACCCTAAAAAGGAGGCCCATTTAATTAATTCATGAGCTATGCTTTTTAAAAGGTTATCATTGGACTTGATCACAAAAAGACCAGCAGTTGATAAAAACATTAAGTCTACCAATAATAGAATCAATTTCTTTCTGAAGGATCAAAGTAACATTCTAGCAATATGTTCCAAGAGATTGGAGATCATAAAGTCAAACAGATACCAATGGAAATTACCACGTGAACTTCTAAAGGGAGAATTCAGGAAAAGGAGGAAGCCCAAAAAAGGCTGAGTCAATGGCCCTGGGGTCAAGAAAAGGTCTGGTGGTCTCACACCTAAAACCAGATCAGTCTTGAGCTCCTGGCCTCTATTTCACTTCAACCGAGCACCTCACAACCTACCACATGTCAAACCTACACCACAGCTTCCAGGCCGGACCCCACCTTGAAGGTCAAGGAAGTACAGGGAGGCAGCAGCTCAGTGGTTCCAGATCTGTCCTTAGAGCCAGTGACAGCATCACCAGGGAGCTTGTTAGAAATGCAGGATCTCTACCTCCTCTCCTTGACCTACAGAGTCAGAATCTGCTTTTTTGACAAGATCCTCAGATGATTTAAGCGTGGGTAGCATGGGAAGAATATGCTGTTCTGGGACCCTTCTCTACCTACTGTGGACCCACTCATGCCTTTCAATGCTCTACTCAGTGCCACCTCCTCGCCGTGCCTTCCCTAATTGTGTCTCCCTGCCAGACATCTGACTGCACCCTCTCCCAGGAAAGCTTGCTTGTCTGTGATTGAATTCTACCCTTTCCTACACGTACCATTATGCCTCCTGAGCTTTTTAAGGGTATATCCAGTCCATCTCTACTCCCAAGATGTTAAGCAAAGTAATTGCACACAGTCAGCAAATGGGGGCTCAGGGAGCCACTAAAAACCCATAGAACAATTCCTGACATATTTGTTAGCATCCCTACAGAAAAGAAGGGTGGCTCTGTTTTTTCCCCTGGCAATACTTTCACACAGAGACACCTTTTCTAACAATATGTGGTATGTTCACATTTTTTAAATAATCAACACATTAAAGACATGAGTGTTTAAGCACACATTTTGTGCTTCTCCTAATGGCCCTCCTTATTCTCTATAGAACCATAGACTTTAATTCTCCACCTGAATTACATGCCTGACTTGCAAGCAATTCACAAAGAAATGGTTCATATAAGGGAAACTCCTAAACTTTTTTTTTACCCCTGTAATTGGATCTAGCAATCTTGGGCAAGAAATAACACACTATACTGATGAGTTACAAATGTTTCTGGTATGCTAACTTCAACCATATTTGTGTGGGAAGGTAACACCTACATTCTTAAATATTAAAATAAAAATGGTTACAAGAATATGTAATCTAATAGGCCATTCAATATAGCAGTGAACAAAACAGACAAAATTCCCTGCTCTCTAGCTCATATTCTAATGAAGAAGTTTTTAAAAATTAAATTAAGCCCTGGATGGTGTGGTTCAGTTGGTTGGAGTGCTGTCCTGTACACCTGAAGGTTGCAGGTTCGGTTCCCGGTCAGGACACATAGCTAGGCAGCAGGTGGAATACGGGAGGCAACCGATTGATGTGTCTCTCTTGCACTGATGTTTCTCTCTCTCTGTCTCTCTCTCCCTCCTTCCCTCTCTAAAATAATTTTTTTGAAGATTTCTTTAAAAAAATTAAATTAAAAATACAGTATGTTAGGCAGTGGTAAGTACAAGGGAAAAATCAAAGCAAGGAAGGAGAATGAAATGTACCTGGTGCAAGGGAGTTTCAAATTTTAGGCAGAGTGACCATGGAAGACCTCACTGAAAAGGCTCTGGATTTATTACAACGTCTATTATGGTTCATTATAAAGGATATTAAAGGATACAATTGAACAGCTAGATGAAGAGATACATAAGACAAGGTCCAGAAGGGTCTGGAACACAGGAGCTTCTGTCCCTGTGGAGTTGGAGGTGCACCACCCTCCCAGCACCTGGATACATTTTAGTTCACCAACCTGAAAGCTCATAAACTCTTGTTCGAGTTTTTTACAGAGCTTAGTCTGTAGCCACCACCACCCCCAATTCCCCTTCCCAGTGGTCAGTGAGTGGGGTTGAAAGTTCCAACACTCTAATCAGTGTTTAGTTCCCCTGGCAACCAGCCCCCATCCTTAGGTGCTTTCCAAAAGTCATCGCATTCACACAAACTCAGGTGTGGTTAAAAGGGGTCTGCTGTGAATGTCAAAAGATACCTCTTATCCCTTAGGAAATGCTAAGGATTTTATGAGATCTGTGCCAGAAATGGAATCAAGAAAAAAATACATATTTCACATTATAAATCACAATAAGTCATTATAAATCACAATAATTCATCTGTAGAGAGAAAGACAGATACATACACAACTACACACATACAATGTTGTAATCAATCCCCTATTGATAGGTGTTTCCGGTGTTTTCTAATACTGTTTCCAACAAGCAGTACACCTTTTTTGCCCGCCTTTTGGCATAGCAAATGTCAATTTTTCCTCCAGCACAGTGGAATCTAACAATCATTGCTGAAGTAAAACCTGCCCATTGACCAAAAAGAAGAAAATAAGGACTCAAAGTTATACTGGAAGCCAACAACTTCAAGGCAACCAAAGAGTCAAAAGTCATTCAACTTATAACAACTTTTAAGTACACGAATGTCACATGTAAAATTGTACAGAGACATCCAAGATGTAAACAAGGAACAGCTACTGTATTTGTTATCCGGAGGTCACTGGTGCCCTTGGAGAGAGCCCTTTCCATGTAGCACCTACCCACTGACCAGGAGTAAATATTTTCATAGTTGACGAGTAAACTGACATTAAAAGGCTATCAGATTTCTACAGTTTCGACTAATTATGATTGGCAGTATCAAAAAGCAGGAAGGCAGGGAGAAGGGGTTCGCTGATTAAGCTACAATAAAACTTTTTAGAACTTTCTAGCCCATGTTCTATCAACTGTCAGCCTTTCTGGGGGGCTATGGTAATGAACAGGACCACTCATCAATACATGAACCTGGCAGGTACATAGTGGGGCTGGCAATTTGTGCTATGAGATTTTCCCAAGGCAGATTTATTCTCAAGATGATGAATGAAGCTTCGGAACTTCTGAACTCAGCACTCACCACGCCAACTTCCTGACTATAACAACTTCTTTTGCCAGGTGCCGATGAAATAGCAATGGGCATTTTGGGGATTCGGGAAATTAAAAGTTGTGTGAGAGATACGTTAACTTTCACTTTCATGCATATGGTTACTACAGCTTTCCCACTGTAGAATGGCTTCCAGATATGCTTTGATCTGACATCTTAATGAAGAAACAGACCCTAAATTCACAAGATAAATGGGTCCTACAATGCCACAGAAGTGTGTGAATGGTGAAGGGTTTGAAACATATGGAGCCAGAAGCTAATCTGTGGAGAATTCTTCAGATCATCAAATGCATGATACTATAAGTGGACAACTGTGTTTTCATCGGTATCTAAATGGAAGTTGTGCCCTATCAGGAATATATTCAATAATGCAGTGTATGCAATTATAAACACACTCTATATTTTCTCCCTTTTTGGTGGGAATCACATAAAATAAAACTTATTAGAATTCCAGGGTTTGTAGAGCAGAAACCTGTAGCAGTACTACAAAGAGCAAGTACATATGTGTAGATTACAGTTCATGCATCCCAATGTATCAGATCACATCATGACTTATCTGACAAATCTTGAACTGACAAAGCCCAACAATCCCAAATAAAATGACAAAATTGCCTCCAACGCATTGAAACTGCCTTGAAGAAACAAATGTTCCAGTGACAACCTCCTACACATATTCATCAGAAAGTCAGTGTATGTAGGATAAGAGCATATTGATTGGAAAATGATGACATGTGATACAATGCAGCGGCAATCTAAAAACTGGTTTGGACATACACCTACATTTCAGGTTGACTTCATATATTTTTCAGAATTAACTGACCATACCAAAATTCAAATATGATTCATCTTAGTGGAAGCCAAAAAAAGAAAGGGAACACTTTTTTTTTTTTAATGTATCTTTATTGATTTCAGAGAGAGGAAGGGAGAGGGAGAGAGAGAGAGAGAGAGAGAGAGAAACATCAATGATGAGAGAGTCATTGATTGGCTGCCTTCTGCACATCCCTGACTGGGTATCGAGCCCGCAACCTGGGCATCGAGCCCACAACCTGGGCATGTGCCCTTACCGGGAATCGAACCATGATTTCCTGGATCCTAGGGTGATGCTCAACCGCTGAGCCACGCCCGGCTGGGCCACATTTTTTTAAAATATGTTTTTTTAATTGTTTTCAGAGAGAGGAAGGAAGAGGGAGGGAGAGTAGAAACATCAATGATGAGAGAGAATCATTGATTGGCTGCCTCCTGCACACACCCTACTGGGGATGGAGCCGGAAACCCAGGCATGTGTCCTGACGGGGAATCAAACTGTGACCTCCTGGTTCATGGGTTGACGCTCAACCACTGAGCCACACCAGCCAGAAAGAAAGGAAACAACTTTTAAATTTGTAATTTAATGTAGTTCTCATTCTAAATACTCACTATTTTACCTACTTTTATATTTTTAATTTTATATCTTCCTTAAAGTGGGCCTCCAAAACTGTATGTGTCTCAAGCCCCTCAAAACCTGATCTACTTCTGATTTTATGCAACAAAAGGTGAGTGGATGAGGCAGCCGTTACCTCTGGCAGCAGCCTTTGGTAAGCATGAACAGTTTCACAATGCTCCCTGTCCCAGCCACAGCAGCCAGCAATGTTTCAGGTGGGGGTGGCCTCTGTGTGAGGCTGATGAGCAGCCAGCTCACCACTGACCTGAGATGAGTGTGTAACATGGGTGAGAAGGAAATGTCCCTTGTGTTAAACCTTGAGGTTTTAGGTATGTTACTATAGTATAATACATTTATGACTAGAAAGGCATAATGTTAAATTTGCACGTGCCTTGGGTATCTAGCATGAGACTGCAAATTTACAGGACAAATATACCATCCCCTTCACTCTTAAAGATGCCAGATTCAAATGGTCTTACAAACAAACTCTTATCAGATTGTAATGGTAAAAATATGGACTATGTTACTAAAACTCTTTTAAAACAAATAAAGTATTCAGAATTTGAAGAATCCATTTATGTGGTTAAGATTGTAAGTAGACTTTTTTTTTTTAAATTGGCTTCTTTAATTTTTCAAAATGTCTACAATAAATATGTATTTTAATTTTTTAATTAAATATTCTATGTATAAACACTTTTTGAAACATCCAGGTTTATTGTGAGTTAAATGTTAGTGCTCTCAATCCTTATTTGTTTTTAAATCATTCAGGAATATTTTTAAATGACAAAAAATTTAATGGAAAATGAAAGTCACTCTGCAAGTCCATGTTGGTATCCTTTCTTTATCAGAAGAATTCATCATCTCTAAAGCCTCCTTGATAGCACACAGTCCTATTTCCTGGCCACCACTACACTGGAAGCGCAGGAAGTGGGCGTGAAACAGACTCAAGGCTAGCACATAATAAAGCCCAGCTTGCCCGGCCAGCATGGCTCAGCAGCTGAGCATCGACCCATGATCCAGGAGATCACAGTTAGTTTTCATTCCCAGTCAGGGCGAATGCCCGAGTTACGGGCTCGATCCCCAGCAGGAGGCATGCAGGAGGCAGCTGATCAATGACTCATCATTGATGTTTCTCTCTCTCTCCCTCTCCCTTCATCCCTCTGAAATCAACAAAAATATATTTTTAATAATAATAATAAAATAAATAAAAATTAAAAGGCTAAGCTTACTCTCACTAATGTGATGGCAAGGACCCCCAGGAAGTAACAATGTCCCTAATATCCATGAGGAACTCTTCGAAGGTCAGACAAAATCCAAATCTTCCTTAATCATCAGTTTATCAAATGATCTAATGAAGTTCATTTTTAAATATACAAACAAGCAAAAATCACAGCATTTAAAAACAACTTTAAGGAGCCTTAAAAACCACCAGACACAAAAATGACTATCCATTTGAAGACATCTACGACAATGTGAATCTGTAGTGGCTCCTATGTAGCCAGACAATTTCTTCAGTGACCCTGGTGGCTCTGTGGCACTTGGAGGCTGCTGTGCTTCAGTCCCAGTTCCAACCCAGCCAACACCCCCATTATACTCACAAAGACAGATAACTAACCAGGTGCCAGGGGCTCAGAACCAGGGAGGTGTTGAGGTCTGACAGGCGAAGGGTCACTGACGGTTTGGGCAGCAACAGAAGGCTTTAGAAGCTTCTGGGAGAGGGTTGGACTCAGGTGGTCTTAGAGGAAAAGCAGAACACTTGAGGTAGTGTGATTGGAGGCGAGGTGAAGGGTAGGGACAGAACCTAATCCCCTCACCAAAGTACCTCTGTTTTCATATTTATATTTCCATTAGCAGTGGTTCTTGAACATTCCTGACCAAAGAACACACACCTGTTAATACTCTCCTGAACCAATGCTCCAGGAAGCACAGTTTGCAAATCATCAGTCTGGTTTACACATTGGGAAAATATTTCTGTTGTGCTTAAAATTTTTTTTTTAAGTTTGAAAACTACTAATGCAATCTTACCTTTTCAGTTACAGAGAAGCAGCCATGAATTCACACATCGTGCTTGGCTGTGGCCCCCACAGCCACACAGCTTTGGAGTTTCCCATACTAAGCCCCGTGCTATTTCCATTATTACTGTATCCCCGGTCTTGGGGTACTCAGAGCACAACAGCAAATTAACAGTTCTAAAAAGCTTCACAATTTGCCTTCATTGGATGCATGGATTATGTTACCTGAACACAGAATTTTTTTTTTTCCCTCAGCACACCTATTAACACTACACCACGGTGTTTGGAGGAAAACCAGTCAGGGAAACACAAAAAGCAAAGTTGGTCAGTACTCAACTTTGTCAGGTCATGCACAATTCAATGCACAGAGAAAAAAGTGAACCTCATTTACACAACAGGGTAGCAACTACTGAGGACCCTCAGGACCTTGTTAATTGAGTGATGAACATACACACACAAAAGGGTCCAAAGTACCTTCAGTATCAAACCATGTTCTAATCAACTCTAGCACATTCAAAATTAAAGTGTCTCTCTTCCCACAAATACTGAAAGAAATATTTGAAAGATGACACATGGCTTGTATTGAGCCACAAAGACCCAACAGGCAAGTTGTTAAACTGCTGCTTCTTGCTGGAAGACCTCATGATGTGCAGAACTGAGAACCCAGAGAGGGCAGTAGAGGGGCGAAAAAGTGACTGCACTTCAGAAACCAGCTCCATTCTCAACTCACAGCTGGTGCAACGACAGGATCCTGAAGCTAGAACCACAGGAGAGGCACACAGCCTTTCCCCACCATCTTTCTGAATCCTGAGGCCAGGGGTTTTAAGCTGCTGTAATATGTACCTGTCAGTTAAATGACAGATCACCTTAAAACATAAGCTCACAGGCCATGTTGTACGGTCTGCAGAAGGGGCTCAAATAGCTAGCTGTGCATTGCCAGGCACCGCAGAATAACAATGCATTACATTTAGGGAGCATCAATAATGTAAGGATGCTCTCAAGCTCTTTACTGGGCACAGTCCATTATCTCTCATACTCCCACCCACTCAGGAAGCAGGTGGCATCTCCATCTTGTGGTCCAGGTTTGGCCAAGGCCCCAAAGCTAGTTCCTCCCCATACCTCATTCTCATATACCAGATAACATATAACTTATCCAGAGTCTATTCCTTCCCCACACACTTGACCATGGGAAAAAGCATCACTATATGATTTCTCTTCAAGGAACACAATATGAAACCCAGGTAGTCAGTGCCATGGGGTCTCCTGACAAAGCATACAACCTGATTACCCATTCTCAAAGGGATCTAGCTACTACTGTATTTTTCTAAGTAAAAATAATCCACAAGTTGCTCCCCTCAGGGGAGGCCATCCCATGGGGAAGGTGGATTTAAAATATTACCCTCCTCTCCCCTGAGACAATACAACAATAAGCAAATATTTTTTGATTCCGAATCTAAGGAGCTAAATGCAGGTATAAATTATTTAACCTGCAATCAATGTCTCTGCATGTGATCTTTGGTTGCATTGTTTTTCTGCAGCTAAATAAACAGTGTCCAAGCTATGAATCTGAGAGATGCAGAGAATGAAGAACACTACCTGCTCTGGAAGGGCAGGGATGCCCTCGGGTCTAACGCCACCCAGGCTGGCAGGGAGCACTAATTAGGCAGGTAGGATTAGTTAAGCAAAGGAGGCAGGGGCACAGGCAAATAAGTTCCTTACTGTTATGAAGAAAGGAGAGTTGAGGACAAAAGGGGGAGGCTGCCAAGGGCTCAGGGCGGTCAGAAGGAAAGAGGCAGCTGAGAGGACCAGGCGGTGGTAGCTCTGTCAGGTATGCCCAGCTGGCAGCCCAACCAGCCACACCCCAAGCTGTGTTTACTCCAACCCCCAAAGGCTTTGTTTCATTTGAGGAGAGAAGGGCTAAGGCTGTTATGGCTCCAGGAAGCTGTGGGCTTGGTTTGGTCTGAGCTTGGCCCTCGTCACAGGCCTACTCAGCTAGTGCTCCTGACACGTTTTTCAAGCCGGGCTCTACTGTGTAAATAATTTCACTATTTTGGAATCCTAAAGTCATACATAAGTTAAGAGCTGAACTCAGGAGATTGTATTTCAATTTTTTTTCTGGCAAGACTCTCACCTTTAACATAAGTTACACTTACAACATCGCGAGCACTAATGTACACATATTAAACCCAGG